CAGTTAAGGCTCTTGCACAGGGCCTGGCACTTCGTGTGCGACCAGGGAGCTGGGATTGCTGCCGTCACGTTACTCTCTCCGCAGCCCCTCCCCCTCAGGAGAGGGACAGAGAGCTCTGGCCTAAGGGTGGACAAGCAGAGTCCCCTCCTGCTCCCCACTCCTACCCCCACCCGGAGTCAGACTCTGACCACAGCGCGGCCCCGTGGTGGGGCTGCCACTCAGAACTCCCTACGGTTGGAATTGTCACTTGGAAATGTGTCCTCAGCCCTCAGTCATTGCTTTTGGACATCACCCTTCTCCCAAGAGGAGCCACGAGATTGCAGGGGCCTGTCGTCGGATCTGTGGCTCACGCAGGGGAACCTGACTGAGGCGGTCCCAGTGCAGAAAGTCTTTCTTTCGGTCCAGAGGTTTTCCACTTCTCCAGTGAAGCTCCCCAAATATGCCACCCCACTGACCTTCTGGAACCCCGGGGACATTGAGAGGTGGGGCAAGGGGCTCCCCTCCAAAGCCCAGAGCAGCCCTTGTGCCCCCTGCCCGGGGGGTCATAGTACCCTCTCTTTCTCTCTTAGCGTAGGTGAGGCTTTCGAAGGGAACCTGTCGGGAGGCCCATCGCCCTCAGGCATTATGGTTGAGAAGACCTGGGGACAGGATGGGGAATCTGCGTCTCCACTGAGCACCAGGGCGATTCGGAACCTGCAGGCTTGGTTGTTCTTGTGCTCTTTATTTCCATATTTTTCTTCTTTGTGTGTGTGTCTGGATTACAGCCCAGAGTTGTGTTAACCATACTCTGCTTTGCTCTTCATCCTGGCCCTGTTATTCATTGTCCCCTTCCTTCCAGTCCCCTTCCCCCTGCGTGTCCCCCCTTTCCATCCCTTCAGGCCCCCACCCCGTGGTGGATATAGATCCCTACATGTATATGAATCTTTGTAAAGTATGTGATGTTGTGTTCCTTTACATAAATAGCACAGTGCTATAAACTTCTGTTTCTTTCTCCATTCGGCACCATGTTTTTAAGACCTAAATGTGTTGCTAAATCTACATCTAGTTTGTTGTTTCCAATTCCTGTGCCATATAGGAGTCCACCATCTGCATCTACCATGTCTCCCTTGTCCTTCCCCTAACCCCACCCTGATAGACACTAGGGGACCTCCTAGCATGACCCGCAACATGGGACGCATATTCTTGTACCTTGTTCCTGTCTTACATCGGATTCCCCAGAAGCAGATCCTGAGTCAGGGATTTGAGTACAAATGATTTATTACTGGCCGTGTCTGCCAAGACCCCGGGAAACCCAGATCTGGGAGTGTACCCACAGTGGGATTCCTGGGCCACATCCTTCCTGTCCCCCAGCACCCGTGGGGGCTTTCCCAGAGGCAATACCAGACCACACTCCCTCAGCAGCGGGCTCTGGGGGTCAGACAATGCCAGGTTCAAATCCTGCTGGCTCGGGTCAAGAAAGGAGTCACCCTTGGCTGGTGGAAGAGGACACTCCCACCCCCGCACAGCGTATAATTATACAACCAGTGTCCACTGCGTGTCAGGCATTGGGGCAATCACATCGCCGTGTCATTTGCTTTAGTAGCTATTCATGTCCCCATTTTACAGATGAGGAAACTGAGTCTCAAAGATAAACCATGACTGGCCTTGAACCCAGGCCTCCTGATTTCAGAGCCAGTGGGCTCTTCTGCTTCCCCAGCCTGGGGTGGTCAGTAAGATGCGCCTCTAGCTGGCACCCATAGGCCCTGGGAGGTGAAATCACTGGGATCCGTCAGGCCCTCGAAGTTCTCCGCAGACCACACTGCAGAGAAAGTTTAAAAGGCCAGATTTCTGTGAGGGTGTCCGGCTGGGTGGGAAGTGGCATTATTTTCCAAAAGCAGGACTTCGGGGGCCTGTTCGATGTCTGACCTTCACTGGAGACTCTGGAGCCTAGAGCATGGGGAGTCGTCGCCCCCACACCCGTCGGACGGGGTGCAAGGAGAAGTGTGCCCATTCCTGCTTGGTCAGTCTGGCCCTCCGGGTACAAGTGGTCTGATGAACTTGGCTTTTTCCCTCTTCTCCATCCTAAACCGTCGGCCGAGACAGGATAACTTCCCACGCAGGATGCTGAGGCTTTAATTCACAGCCGGCGAGCGTCATGAGAGAAAGAGGAGGAACCGTTCACTGGGGGAGCCTCCCCAGAGGGCTGGAAGCAGAAATTCCTCAGGAGCAGAGGGGATCGCAGCCTGGGGGGTTCACAGACGCTCTCCCTCGGGGACTTGCAGGGCCTGAGGACCGTTCCTTGGCCTCCATCATCATTCTCCCAAACAGTGTGTCCGTTTGTCCTCATCTTCGGTGACAGTGGTGCAGAGGCAAAGCTGAAGGCGACGTCACGCGCGTGAAGTGCCTGAGGGACTCCTGGCAGCCCTGCTTGGGGGTGGGGGTGCTGGCAGGCGGTGCCTGGGGAGATGGGTTCCGATTTCAGGTCAAGTTAAAAGCGTTCTCAACACCGTAAACTGAAATCATTTTTGTTTCACACAGGTACACCCTAGTTTTCCAAAACCCAATCTGTGAAATTCGCTTTCCCCAAAGACAAATGAGTGGTGATTTGCTTTGGTAGAAGGATCCTGTTCGGAAAGATCCCCTTTCCAACGTGGAAAGCCACCCCCGTGGCTCCCACTGGACAAACATGTATGTGTGTGTGTTCCCTGAGCGTGTCCAGGGTACAGATGGACACTCGGGTCCTGGAAATGGGTTTCCACGTGGAACTGATGGATTTTGCCGGAACCACGTACTTCCAGGGGGCTGGGGCTGAGGAAGGGATGGTGCTTTGAAAAAGCAAAGTATTTGACTCTTCTTTTCTGTGGATTGGCTTAGTTCTGTTGCTATAATCTGAGGGTCTGGAACTCAGATGCCTGCCGGGGCCAGGAAGCGAAGCAGAGTGGGTGTTGGGAAGACAACAGGGAGAAGTGGGGACGGAGGTGGACGGCAGCATGCACGCCCTGCCTCAGGGGACAGCCATTTCCCAGCTGGAAGTGGGGCCAAATGAACCAGATAGCCTGGTTTTCGAGAGAAACCAAGAATATGAATTTTTACATGACATTTTTCATTTTTCAACATCTTCTCAGAGCCAGGCAAATATGTATGCACCAAATCCAACCTGTGAGCTATGGATGAATAAGCAATTCATTCTAGCTTTGGGAAGGAAGGGATCTCCGTAAGCCGATCTCTTGACCTCCGTTTCTCAGAAGGGCCCTCATCGCGTCGGCCTCGCCAGCAGGAAATGCACTCATTTAGCAGGCACTTCTTTGAGCGCCGGTGCTGCTGGGCACAGGGATTAAGAGATGAGTAGAGTACACTGCTTCCCCCCGGGGAGCAAGGAGTCCAGTAAAGGAGCGGGACTTGCACACAGATCATTCTAAAACTGGGTGATGTGTGCAGTGAAGATAAATGCCCCATGAATGGGGGCGGAGGGAGCTCGATTTAGCTGGAAAAGCAAGGAAGGCTCCCTGGAGGAGCAAGCATGCCTGTCCTGTTCACGCCTGTGTCCTCGAGAGAATGTTTGCTGATTCATGAACACCTGGCATTGTTGTCATCACTGTGACATGACCTCTAATTGATGGCAAATGGTATAGTTTTTTTCATTTATGGGAGCAGTGTCCCTTTAAGATAAATACAAATAGCCTTGGCCGGTTTGGCTCAGCGGTTAGAGCATCAGCCCACTGACCAAAGAGTCGTGGGTTCGATTCCAGTCAAGGGCACATACCTCGGTTGCAGTTCAAGTCCCTGGCCCTGGTCAGGGTCATGCAAGTGGCAACCAATCGATGTGTCTCTCTTGCATCGATGTCTCTCTCGCTCCCCACCCCCCCTTGTCATTCAGTCTGAAAATAAATGGAAAAATATCCTCCGGTGAGGATTTTAAAGAAAAGATAAATACAAATAGTAATAGTAATTATTGTATACCTAATATGTGCTGGGCACTGTACGGAGTGCTCTTATGTACATAATTCACTGAATTGTCGTGATAATTCTATGAAGTGGGCCATATGGTTACACCTAATTCACAGATAAGGACCCTCCCGGAATACAGTGAAGTTGAAACACATGAGGTTGAGTAACTTGCCCAGGCCATGCGGCCCCAGAATCCATGCTTGTAACCACAGCCCCAGGGCCCTTCCTCCTTGGCACCGTGGACCTTGGGGACCGAGAATTCTCTGTGCATTGTAGGCATTTTAGAAGCATCATTGACCCCTATGTACTATGCCATCCACCAGACATGACAATCAAAAATGCCTCCAGACGTTGCCATGTGTCCCCTGGGGGACAAATTGACCCTCACTGAGAACCACTCAACGACCTTACCAAAAAATGGGGCTATTGTACAGTGACGTGTTAAGTAAATAACAGTACAGAGGGCGCCTGACAGTCCAGTGGTAGGTTGGCTCCGCGGGTCAGGGACCCCATCTGTTCTGCGCGTGGCTGTGTCAGCGGTGCCAAGCCAGCACCTGGCACACAGCGGCACCCGGAAGATTTCTATAAATGAGGTAGACATGGAGGAACTGTACCGCTTAGGGGATGCTGAAGGATGGTGTTGCTCTTTTCACTCTTAAGTGAATGTTTGCGTCCACTCCGGCTGCTCTTACAAAACCCCGAACTGGGCGGCTCATGGACAGACGTGCATGGCTCACAGCTCTGGAGCGGGGAGGTCTGAGGTCAGGGCGCCTGCCTGGTGGGGACTCCTGGCTTGTAGATGGTGCCTCCTTACTGGTCCTCACTCTGGTGTCTTTTCCTCTCCTCATAAGGGCACTAATCCCATGGCGAGGACCCCACCCTCATGATCTCATCTAGACCTAATCACTGCCCAAAGGCCTCAGCCCCGGATATGGTCCCCTTGTGGATTTGGCAGGCACAGGTTAGCCCCTAATATCTGCAGGATCAGCACTGTCCGCTGAGACTCCGGAGTCACTGAGTGTGTCTTTCCTCCCTTCTTCCTCCCAGGCCTGAGAGGGATGTGAAGACCCAAAATGACTCTCTTACCGGGAGACAACTCTGATTACGACTACAGCGCCCTGAGCTGCACCTCGGACGCCTCCTCCCACCCAGCCTTCTTGCCGCAGACCCAGCCACTCAAGGGCGTCTTCTACCGCCGGGCGCAGCAGCTCGGGCCCCAGGACGCGCCCCAGCAGGGAGGCCTGCCCGAGGACCGCCGGCGGCGGATCATCATCAACGTGGGCGGCATCAAGTACTCACTGCCCTGGACCACCCTGGAGGAGTTCCCGATGACGCGGCTGGGCCAGCTCAAGGCCTGCACCAACTTCGACGACATCCTCAACGTGTGCGACGACTACGACGTCACCTGCAACGAGTTCTTCTTCGACCGCAACCCGGGGGCCTTCGGCACCATCCTGACCTTCCTGCGGGCGGGCAAGCTGCGGCTGCTGCGCGAGATGTGCGCCCTGTCCTTCCAGGAGGAGCTGCTGTACTGGGGCATCGCGGACGACCACCTGGACGGCTGCTGCAAGCGCCGCTACCTGCAGAAGATGGAGGAGTTCGCCGAGATGGCCGAGCGGGAGGAGGACGAAGACCTGCTGGACAGCGACAGCCAGGACAGCGAAGGCCCTGGCGAGGGCGAGGGCCGCCTGGGCCACTGCATGCGGAGGCTGCGCGACATGGTGGAGAGGCCGCACTCGGGGCTGCCAGGCAAGGTGTTTGCCTGCCTGTCCGTGCTCTTTGTCACCATCACCGCCGTCAACCTCTCTATCAGCACCTTACCCAGCTTGAGGGAAGAGGAGGAGCAGGTAAGAGCCCACCACTGTATTCGGGGAGGGTCGCTGCATGAGAGATGGTCTCTCCGGCAGGAGACAAAGCTGTCTGCTAGACCACCTCCTCCCAGAAGTGCACATCCTTCACAGTGCACGCTGTCACCTCCTCCAGGAGGCCTTCCCTGACTGCCCTGGCTGAGTAGCATCCCCCTCCTGACATCACGTTTACATGTTGTCTTCCACCTGCATCTTCAAATATGAGCCCCAGGCCTGTCCTGGTCTAGACACTGTGCCCCAGTGTCCAGAACAGTGTCCCACACCATGAGGCACTGGGCCCCTCTCTGTTGAGTGAATGAATGAATGAATGAATGAGTGACATGATTTGTGATGTGCCTGGCCCAGAGCTAAGCACATGACATGTATCATCCAAATTTATTTCACTGACTTACGTCCTTCCTCAACCTTCCTGATTCCCTTGTATAAAAATATCCCAGGAACACTTCCTGGGTGCTGAATATAATTTTTGTGGTAGGTATGTGTGTGTGCACGTGTCTTCAGAGAGCGAGCATTGCTTCGTGTTAAATAAGAGAACGCAGGTAGGGGTTTACTCCAGAACCTGGCACGGGGTGTGTGCGCGGATCTCAGGGCTACCACGTAAGCAGCTAATAGAACCCAGGGCTGCGGCCCTGCCCACGTCCAACCTTACCAGCGACTCTTCCAGCTGCTCTGTACAGGAGGCGTTCTCTCTCGCCCACTGGACAGATGAGAACACTGAGGCGGAACAGCTTTGCCCAGACCCAGGTCTGACTGAGCCCAAATTCCGCGTTCTTCAATGTGGAACTATGGGTTCCCCACAAAAGCGGGTTATTGGCCCACACTACGCTTCCAAAAATTTTGACTGGGTCGCCAACATTTAAAAGGAAGATATTTTTCATTTAAAAATTCAAACTCCTAGCTCCCGTTAAAAATCTAAATGGTTGAGCCTGCCATCCACACGGCAGCTCTCGGTCCACAGACGTCTGCCCCCCCAGTTCAGCCTCTTTCTGGGTAAGACCTTCTGGCCTCTGAGTCAGGCGCCTTCCCCCCACACCTGCGGTTTCTGGGGGCAAGTTTCAAGACAGACCTAAAGGTTTAGACAGGTACCAACCGTATAGATGGCGGAGAAGTGGGTATGCCGTAGGAAGTGAGCATAAATATCACGCCAGCTGCGTACACAACACGCGCTCTCTGATGGGACAGCAGGGCTATTTGCCACACGAGGGGTGTTCCACATGCACACCCTCTGGAAGCAACAGCGACACTTTAGCATTTCTAACCCAGAGGGTTTCTGTCACGTTTTTATATGCTGAATTTTAAACGCACGTGTTGCGACAACAGCACTCCACCAATAAAATGAACTATTGACGAGCATAAGGGGTAGCGATGCAGAAGGCAGGGCTGGAGCCAGATGGCCTGGATCTAAATCTTATTTCCTCCACTCTGGCTGTGTGTCTGTAGGCAAGTTACTTAACCTCCCTGTGCTCCAGCTTCCTCACCCGCCAAAGAAAAGACAGAGAAAATGTGCACCATTTGGGACCTGTCTGGGTGGGGTGATTTTCAAACGGGGGGTCACAAGGCCCCCGGGGAGGTAATAGTGAAGCAAAGAGCCGGAGGCAGGAGGACAGAGCCATGTGAGTGGGAAGGCATCCTGCCAAGGGGAGAAAAAGCCAAGGCCGGGCTGGGGGGCGAACCTGGGCTGCTGGAGAGGCAGAGAGGAGGCTGGTGATGCTGGAGCCGGTGAGCAAGGTGGGCGAGGGTGGGGAAGTGGCAGAGGTGGCAGCCGGTCGCCTGTGTCCTCAGAGATGTGCGCTGTCCCTCTGAGTCATGGAGGGCCGGGATCTGGCTCCTGTGCTCAGAGTCCCTCTGGCTGTGTTTGAGGACACAGGCCTGAAGGTGCAACATAGGAGAAAAGAGGAGAGAAGGAAGAAGAGAGACAGAGAGGCCTGGGCTGGGGGGAGTGGAAGAGAAGCAAGAGAGGGAATTCGGTATTTACCGACAATTTTCCCAAAGGTGTCTGTTCCCGCTCTTTCCCTTGAACCCCACTGGGGCCCCACCAGGCCCGAGGGACCCTGGGAAACAGCCCCTTTTCCTTCTGGTGGCCACACTGGCACAGCACTCCGCCCAGGGCAGAGCTCCGTACTCCCTGCTGGTGGGACCACTGACCTCTCGGTGACTGTCCCCTCTCTCCCAGGGCCTGTGCTCCCAGATGTGCCACAACGTCTTCATTGTGGAGTCCGTGTGTGTGGGCTGGTTCTCCCTCGAGTTCCTCCTGCGGTTCATCCAGGCGCCCAGCAAGTTCACCTTCCTGCGGAGCCCGCTGACCCTGATCGACCTGGTGGCCATCCTGCCCTACTACATCACCCTGCTGGTGGACGGTGCTGCCGCCGGCCGCCGCAAGCCGGGCTCGGGCAACAGCTACCTGGACAAGGTGGGGCTGGTGCTGCGGGTCCTGCGGGCGCTGCGCATCCTGTACGTCATGCGCCTGGCCCGCCACTCCCTGGGGCTGCAGACACTGGGGCTCACCGCCCGCCGCTGCACCCGCGAGTTCGGGCTCCTGCTGCTCTTCCTCTGCGTGGCCATTGCCCTCTTTGCCCCCCTCCTTTATGTCATCGAGAACGAGATGGCCGACAGCCCCGAGTTTACCAGCATCCCTGCCTGCTACTGGTGGGCTGTCATCACCATGACAACTGTGGGCTATGGAGACATGGTGCCCAGGAGCACGCCTGGCCAGGTGGTGGCGCTCAGCAGCATCCTCAGTGGCATCCTGCTCATGGCCTTCCCGGTGACCTCCATCTTCCACACCTTCTCCCGCTCCTACCTGGAGCTCAAGCAGGAGCAGGAGAGACTGATGTTCCGGAGAGCCCAGTTCCTCATCAAAACCAAGTCGCAGCTGAGCGGCATGTCCCAGGACAGCGACATCCTGTTTGGAAGTGCCTCCTCGGACACCAGAGACAAGAACTGAGCCCAGAGGACACACCCCGCCACCGCTGCCTCCACCAGGACGCCCCCAGCCCTGCCTGCCTTCTGCGGCTTGAAGCTACCGCCATCACTGCAGGAGCCTGCAGAGGCACGTGCTGACTCCCAGCGTCGCCCTGGCCCAGAACCAACCCGATCCCCACCCTCCCAGCCACAGGGCCGGCCAGGAGCCCAGCACACCGCCGGGCCGGTGCCCCGCCTGCCCCAGCCCTCGAGCCGTTTCCCTCGACAGGGAGATGACTCGTCCTTTCCACCATGTAAATAACACGCCCAGCAAAGACCTGCGTTATGGGTCTGCCTGGAGAAAAGAATACAAGTGGCCGCAACCGTGTTTGTCTTTACTGTGGACCATATGCAGAAAGAACACCAGAGGAAAGGGGAGAAACCCCCCACGCTGGGGCTCTCTTAAAGGAAAGTATTTCCCAGCAGAGCCAGCCAGGACGGCGACAGGAAGTAAAGGACCTGTTTCCCAGGGCCCCTCAGGCCTGGCGGGGCCCCCGTGGGGTTGGAGGGAAAGAGGGAACAGATAGATACCCCTGGGAAAATCGTCGGTAAATACCGACTTCCCTCTCTGTCTCCCTTCTTCCTTCTCTCCCATCCTCTTCCCTCCTGTTTTGCACCTTCAGGCCTGTGTTCTCAAACTTTTCCCCCAAGGTACCCCTCACAGTTGAGTGCACACCAAGGGGCCTGTCAGCTCTGCCGACTACAAAGGTGATGTTGCTTCATTTTATCTTTTAGAAAGAGTGTGTTTTGCCCTGGCTGGTACAGCTTGGCGGTTGGAGCATCAGCCTGAGGACCAGAGAGTCCCAGGTTCGGTTCCCGCTAGGGGCACGTACCAAAAAAAAAAAAAAGAAAGAAAGAAAGAAAGAGTGTGTGTTTTTAATTCTATTCCACATTGATTTGAATATTTAGAAAAAACACTTTAAAGTATTTGCCTGAAGGGAAATCTAAACCTAGGCTGGGGTTGATGCTTCAGGAAGGTGGGTCGTGGTTCCCGGGGAGGTCTGAGAAGCATAGTCTGAAGCCCCCAAAGGACTCCCATGTCCCCCAGAGGCCTACAGAGCACCCACCGCCGGGAACAGCTCCTGACCTCACCTACTGCGGATGACCCACCATTGAGGAGACCCCAGGCCAGCCCCCAGATTAACTCAGCCCCGGGATCAGAGTCCCTCAGTGCCAGGCACGGTGAGGGGGCTTCGCCCCTAGTCACAGTCACGGCCTGTCTTCAGCGTCAGATACAGCAGCGTCACTTTCTTCCGCATCCTGGGCCACAGCGCCCCCCCTCGGCCAGCAGCGCAAAGCACGCTCTAAAACAAACCCGACCACTGGCTGTCCTGCCTCACCCGCCAAGGGCTGTCCGTCACGTTGGGAATAAAATCCAAATTCCCTGCATGCACTGGGCCCTGCCCTCCTCTCCAGCTCCGGCCCCCACCTCTATCTCCATCCAGCCACACCAGCCCCTTTGTTCTTCCCTTGCCACAGCCTCGCCCGTTCCCATCAGAGCCTTCATGCCTGCCACCCCTCTGCAGGGAATGCTCTTCCTATAGAACACTGCATGACTGGCTCCTTCCCATCACCTCCCTGACCCCCTCTCTAAAGAGTCTACTCCAGCACCTCCACCACCACCACTCTGTCTCCTAAGCTGCTTGATCTTTTTCATCCACTTACCAACCTCTGAAATCGCCTCATTTATTTCTCTGCCACTCAGCTATGGTCGGTCTCCAGCAGGAGGAGGCTGGTGCTGTGCTGGAAGGGACTCAGCTACCCGGCTCACCACTGACCCCTAGCACCCAGCACCTAGTAGGTGCCCAGTAAACACTGAATGAATGAATGAATGAATGAATGAATGAATGAATGAATGAGGGAGGGAGTGAAAATGAAGGGAAACAGGAAAGAGACCAGAAAGTAGAAAAGCATCTGCTTTTAACATTGGATGCTGGGCCTCCAAGCGCCTCTTTCTCCCCTGGGGAGTGAGGGGGCATCTCAGTGCAATACCCACGCAGTGATGCAGAGTGGAAATATCATTCGAGTCACGAGGGCCTCGTTAAAGGCCCCCTGACACCTGCTTCCATGACATGCCTGAAAAGTAAGTTTCCAACTAATTAGCTCTCCCTTCCCAGCCCAGGGGTGTCATAGCCATCGGCACTGCCGTCACGGTAACAATACCTTAGATTTATGGAATGACCTTTTTTCCCCTCCAAAGTGGCTACAAGAGACAGGAGACACTGCAAATGCTAAATAGAACGTGACCCAGAAAGAGGTATAAATGGAGACCTTTAAAATGCAAGGGGGTAGAAAGCAAATACCGTTTAGGGTGGAGGAGCTGGGACAGCGCTAGAAGGGGACCCCCGCCCCTGAGGACAGAGGCTACGGCTGTGCAGGGAGCAGCTGGGGTCACTGAAGGTCGGGTTTCTGGCATCTTGCAAAGATTCTGATTGGCGCTGGTGATGGAGGCAGAGCCCCAGACTTAGGCACCCCTCAAAACCTCCTAATTAAGAATCACGAGGCCTCAACACACCTCACTAGCCACTTTTAGGACCGTGACCAAGTTGATGATTATGGCTTTTCCACGTTGTTTCAACGATGTAAAATCCGATACAGAAAGCCCAGCTATAAACTGGATCAAATGAGGACTGTTCTGCTTGAAGTATGGGCCACGATCCCTTGTCCCTGCGCTAAGGGGGCCCCCCTTTTGACCCTGGTACAGGCGACTAACTCCACGCAGCCAGGACGGTGTGGAAATGACAGCTCTAAGGGAAACAGCTCAGCTGCTATAGTTTAGGTAACAGGGTTATCCTCCAGCTCCGATTGAGTTCATTGCTTCTGCAAGACTCACAGTGGAGGGCTGGGAAGGCTTATTTAACCACACAGATTCTCAGGCCTCACCTCTGAGCAGGGCTGGAACCTCACCTTGGGCTCAGAATTTTAGGCGGAGCCAAAAAAAACAAACATGGAGGGACCTGGAGACTATTACGCAAGCAAAGCAAGCCAGTCAGAGAAAGACAAATATCACATGATCTCACTTATCTGTAGATTATAATGAACAAAATAAGGTGACGAACAAAATAGACCCAGAGATGTAGAAGTAGGGCTCAGACCGACAAACCTCAGAGGAGGGGGCGGGGGGAGAGGGAAGAGATAAACCGAAGAACTTATGCCTATAAGCATAACCGATGGACACAGACAACAGTGCTGCGGAGGGGCGGAGGGGCGGAGGGGGGTATCAACCGGCGGGGGGGGGATATCTGTAACAAAAATTAATTTATTAAGTAATAAAAAAATGTTTTTAAAAGCTCAGTGGTCAAGGTAAATCATATTTTAATGCAGTATTTTTAAAAACCAAGATTAATGCCAAAAATTCGCAATGAACAAAATAGGTACCTTTTAAATAAAGGCAGGGTCAAGCTTTGTCTTGCCACTCCTAGTTCTGGTCCTGTGCCGAGGGCCCTGGCACGTCAGCGAGGCAGCACTGATAGGCCCAGGACATCTCCCAAGAAGTGAGGGCACGGGCACCCCAGCTGCTGAAGGGCATCAGAATGGGCACCAACACCACCTCCTACCCCAGTGAGCATGTCAGAGCCAGGCCCCTGTTCTCATGGGACCCCCACCGTGACAGGGAGAGAGACAAGTGAATAGAGGAAGTAATTCCTGGTGATGAGCACAGGGCGACCTGGCAGAGACCTGACGCCGGGGCCGGGGAGCAGCCACTTAAGAGAGTCAGGGAATGTTCTCTGAGAAGGTGGCATTGAAAAGAGACCTGGAGTGGGGAGGGGGCAGTGATCCAAGCAGAGAGAACAGCCAGTGCCAAGGCCCAGAGGTAGGGGAGACCCAGACATTTCTCCAGGTGTCAAGGAGCACCTGTGCTCAGGAACACGCCCCTACGGGGAGCACCGGTCCTCCCAGGGAGAAAGCCCGGCTGTGCTAAGCAGACAATGAGCATTTCCAGAGACCTTGCCCTGAAATTGACGGGATCAAAGCAACTGGGGGCAAAGCAGACACAACAGAACTGGACTGAGTTCCTGCCCCAGAGGTGCCAATGATTTGATGGAGAAGACACAGAATAAAGTGTCTCACAGGTGAAGTGACAGGGGTGCACTCGCCTCCCCACCAGTCCAGCCTCGTCCTTTCCCGCCTGAATTGTTGCCGGGGCCTCTTCCCTGGTTCCCCTGCGCTCCTCCTTCCTCTCCATCCGCGCTTGCACAACAGTAGAGAGACCCTGTTAGAACCCCAGACAGCTCATGTGCTTCCTCGGCTCATGTCACTCCCCCCAAAAAGCTGGTGACATCCCATCCCCATGACCTGGTCTTCTTGCCTCCCCCCCATCTCTCTTTCAGCTCTACCAACCTCCTCGATCCATAACAGACTCACGCCCAGAGTCACTCGCTGGTTTCTGCTTGGAGACAACCTCACCCTGTGGGTTCAGTCCTCCGTGAATACCCTTGTATTTTGAGTTAAATGTATGAAAAGGGACTACAGGACTTTGTTTTGAAACCATAAATCCGAGCCCGAACGATTCTTTTCACTTTCTTTTCTGAAAAGAACATGCTGCTTATTCAAATGACCAAATAAATAAGTGTGTTGACAGATTTAAAGCCACCACTGGCCTTGCTTAAGAAACACAAAACAAAACAAAACAAAAGCAGGGATCCCGGCTGGTGTGGCTCAGTGGCTGAGGGTTGACCCAGGCACCAAGAGGTCGCCAGTTCCACTCCCGGTCAGGGCACATGCCCAGGTTGTGGGCCTGATCCCCTGTGGGGGGCATTCAGGAGGCGGCCAATCGATGTTCTCTCTCATCGATGTTTCTATCTCTCTCTCCCTCTCCCTTCCTCTCTATCTAAAAAATCAATAAAGAAAAAATGATTTTAAAACAATAAAGGGGGGAGGATAACCTGACAGGACTATACCCTAGGTCTGCATTACTGGGTAGCTGTTGGTATTCCATCAGGTGTGTTATTATATACACATGAAACTTGAAAAACAAGTACA